AGATGCTTAAGCGAAAGGTTAAGAACCGCTGCTACAGGCAATACACAATGTATACACAACACTACAAAGTAGAAATGAGTTAGATGTTTTAAATACTGAATTCGCTAGTGAACTCTACCTTCCACTGCTTAACAATAAAGGAACCACCATTGATAAAAAAATATAAAAATGCCTTTATCAGCGAACACATGAGGTAAAGGAACACTGCAATTAAAAACTGACAAAGATCATGATGCTCCAATGATAAAAGAATCCTGAACCAGTTGAATCAAAACGCCCGGACTCTTATGAAGCTTCAAGAAAAACTCGACTGGATCAGACACTTGGAATCATTTTCAGCAGACTATAATTTTCTAAGTAGCGCAACACGAATGGTCCGCCAAACGGTATCGCGTACATCGACTTTGAGAAAGCTGAGTCTCTTGCAGATAACTATGCTTCTCAATGCCGCACATACAACGTTTCCCACGCGCAAACAGAACGCATAGTTTCATCACTCAGATTTCAATTCTTCTCAAGAATATGGACGAACAATACCCCTTTAATCAAGCCATACTAGGTTAGTAGATATATTGAAAAGAGGAAACACAAGAAGAGCTCAGGACTGAATAAAATAAGCAATACAATTATCAATGAAATAGGATTCAGAACATTATGAAAATTCACAAAAATAATCATTTTTGATTTCATCTACGAAAATAGGATTTTTATCTCTCAGCAACGTGCTTCAGGAGAAAGCATTCTACTGCTCACTCGCTATACCGCGTCACCAAATGATTGAGGGACTAAAGAACAAACTCATCACAGGAGCACTCTTCCACAATATGTCAATAGCCTTTGATTGCGTATGGTTACAGAGACTTATTTACAAACTAATTACTGTTGGTTTCCCAGATTGCGTCATCAGCATCATTAACTTATCTTTATGAGAGACACTTTATTTTCGTTACAGCAATGCATACTATACACGACGAGAGATCCTTGCTTACATGCCACAAGGTTCGTTACTCGCGTCCATTCTTTTCTCTCTATCTAAGAACGCCGTTCCTCAAAATTTCCTCCCTACAATTGCATTATGTCCGGACGACACAGCGATCCTCTACCGAAACGTTTCTCTAAGTTTAGTAGTACAAATACTACAAGATCACATCCAAGCACTACAATCCTGAATGGTAAAATGGGAAATAAAAACCAACGTCGAGAATTCAAAAGCAATACTCTTCACAAGAAAACGCAATGTGGACTGGAACCTTACTCTCATCATGTACAACATCCCGTGGACCAAGAAAGTCAAATACTTGGATCATTTTAGACCAAAACTCACTTAGACCACACACATCACACATATCAGTAATACATTTCGGGGCACTAAAGCCTTACTCAACCCCTTTATTTCCCGAAACTCTTTCTTTCTTGAAAACGAGATACTCGTTTATAAGACTATGATGCGGCCCATTTCTTACATAAGTCTGCCCCGTCTGGGATTTCTTATGCAATTCACCTTTAAAAAGTTACAGCAAATGCAAAATGTAACTTTAAGACAGATCACAAAATGTCAGTGGTTTATAATAAATGATGTTATACATAATGAATTAGATGTAGCTAAAGTCGATATATGTATTGCCAAAATTTCTAGGAAAATTTTCAAAAACATAGAAAAAACTAATAACAGCTCTATTCACCATATGAATTATAATATAAAAGATAGGAGTAACAGAAAAAGATGAGGGGTGGTTCTGTTGTTGTTACTGTTGTTACTTATGCTCGTTTTTGTCTGACAGTAACATCAGCCCAAGCCCACGAAATTCCTCGTTGAAAGAAGCGCAAGATACGCCTGTCATTGACAACAGCTTTGAACACCTTACAGATGACAGTGCGATTTAGCTCAGAGGAGAACTTAAGCTAATTTTCTTCTCATTCCTAATTAAAACGATGTCTTGTTTTAATTTCCAATATCTTTCTATTTCGCATTTTCACTTTGTTTCGGCCTACCTTATTCCAAAATTGTATGGTTTTAATTAAGCTCTGCTCCTACATTAATGCCTGACTTGCATATAGTTACACTTCTTTCCAGCAACGCCATTGGCTGCTGACTGATCCCAGCAGATGCTTCGCCCTTCCACCCAGTTCCAAGCATCCATCGTGCCTCCTCACTTGAGATCCAGATTTCAAGCCTCTAGCAACACTGTTATGAGCATTTGTTCATTTCGCCACTTTACCACAGTTATACATGTTAGACAATAGTTCTCTCACGCCATTATATCAACTTGATTCAACGTGTTGTTGCTCTGTATATGAAGCTGGTGACAGTTCGCCCCTTCTCCAGCTTTCCGATCATTCTTCCACTTGTGAAGTCGTCCAGATGATTTCTTCTAGCCATATTTGACGAACTGACTCACTGGCACTTGCAGCGAATACGTTGAATTGCGTCTCTGTCCTTTGTTGAGCTGTGCGTTTTGTGTACGATCACGTTGACTCTGGCGTTTCGTTCCTGATATTTGCATACGCATGACGTTTCTACTGACTTACGTGTTCATTGTACTGATCTCCAGACCTCCTTTTCTGCAATTTCATGGCTCTCTGCTAAATTTTTACATTGTAGCTTAAGTTTTGCACACCAATTTATAATGCTTTACACTAGCATAGGCTTGGGCCCGATCTCACATCTGACTCTCACATCTTATGTCATTGAAATGCTATGCTTAATTGCTGCTATTTCAACTCAGGATGCGGCTTATGACCGGGAGCTGTGAATAGTGTCCCCACGCACTTAAGTTTCGAGGATGCCTATTCTGCCCCCCAAGAGTCGTCTTTAGTTTGTTGGCCGCCACATATCGCTACTTGTGAAAACCAGCTTTATCGAATATTTCATATTCTGTACCGAACTGGTAGAAAACGCGAGGAAAATGGTTGACGCTTCTTATAGGTTTGTGCAGTTGGAGGTACGAAGTTGATCACGGCTCTGTATGTGTTTTTACCGCTAAATTTTATACTTAAAAGAAGTATATAGTTGCAGATCTCCTAAATTGACATCGAATTTATCGAAAACCTGATGATGCATTCGCTGTACTCGAAAATGTCTTTATTGCTTTATTGCACACTTTAAACTGCCAAAATTTATTATAATAAAATGTGGTGAGCTGAGAGAGTAGCTGAGCCACATTAAAAAAATAGGAATATAAAAAAGAAAGAATGAAAGAAAGATAGTCTCTTCATAATTTTTCTGAAAAGATGTATATATATATATATATTTCTCTTTACAATGTAAGAGATTATATTTTTTCAATTTCCGTAAAATATTTTCTACCAAATATTTTTTCATCAATTAATAATTTGTAGACGTACGAGATGGGCATATCGAATTTATGTACAACAACGATTAAGTTAATTAAAAAAATACTACAGTCGAAAACCTCACGATGATATCTTTCATTATTAAGCGAAATTCACACAACTGTTTTAGAAAAAAGTAATTTACAGTGTTTTAATAAGTGAAAGAACAGTTTATATCAAGGATTTTTTGAATATTTTTATCATCTTCAAAATCTTAATTAATTAAATTCAGAGCAGAAAATGTCGTTAATTTGTAGCATTTTGCAATGGTCACTTCAAATAAAGAATTGTTAACGTATTTAACTGAACAAGTGATAATTTCCAAATGCAGACTGTGATTTTAGTGATGTATTTTTATTTAAAACAAAAAGATATGGTAAAAAACTTCGTCTTTGAAAGCAACTCAAAGACACTTTCGAGTATCCTAGTTATTATGTCAGTTACTGATTAACACTTTTGGAATAAATTATGTTATTGCAAAGAATGTTTTGACGATTCTTATTTTATAATAAGCAAGTCTAAAATAGAGAAAAAATAATGTATTAAGGGGGAAAAAAAAGAATCTATGAGTCATAGATCTGTGGAAATTTATTTCAAAATTACAAGTGCCCGAAAACAAATGTGAACCACAGTAATTTTTCGCCTTAGATAAAATCCCACTTAACAATAACGCTTTGGCTGGTTCCTACATTTTTTTTTGGAAAATGTTTATTGCATAAACTCCATGACTGTGGTGCATATAAGTATAGAATGTTTTACTTGCAATTAATGCTGCCCAGACGGTATAGTGGTTAGGAAGCCTGACTGCGATACCGAAGGACCTGGGTTCGAATCCCTGAGAAGGCATGGTTGAAGTGTCCGTCCCTTCATAGGAGGCGATGGTGACCTACCTGTTAGGTAGCCTCCATAATAAAGAAACCACCACGTCTGGGCTTGTATAGATCAATGGACTGTGTTGCAATGTAACTGTTCACAATATGCAATTGGAAAAACAACAACAAAAAAGAAACTTGTAATTAATTAAAAAGCTTAGAAATATGTTTTACTAATTGGGACTCACTGTATGGAGGCATAACAGAATTCTTAATTCTATGAATCGATGATTTTTGTAAATTAAACATACAGGCAAAGGGAAAAAATATAAGGATTTTTTTAACCGCACATTAAACAACAGAATTAAGAAAAAATATTTTCATCTTCACTCTTATAATTGCTGGACTATGGAATTTATTAAAGAAAAATTATGCTTGAAAAATAAAGGAAAGGAAGCCAGAAAGTTGCTATAATTATATGCATGTCAAAAATCCTAAACATAAATTTGCTTAGAAAGCTTTCGGTTTTGAACTGAGTTTTTATTTCTGTACAAAGAAATCTCTCTTCCGTGAATGTGTGGATGGATCTTATTGTGACATAAAAACTTTCTAACAAATGGTATGCTAGGGATATTTAATAAAATGAAATATTACTTTTTCATGCTATATAAGTCTAACTAATGCAAATATGCAATATATTTTTAAGAAAAACGAGTAGAATATTCCAACTATATTTTATGGGGAACTTGAGCTAATAAATAATGTCCAGACGATATTCTGAGAATCAGTTTCTGCCGCCAGATGGCATCCAAAGCAGATTCGAATGGCGGGTATTAAAAATCATTGTAAGCGCGAAAAGTTGATTTGCAAGGTGATGTGGCTCGGAGGCAGATCGTTTGCTAGGATGCTATCGCGTTTTGAATTAGTCTCTACGGCTGTAATATGTGTAATATGTTTATCATGTGCTGGTAAGTCAATACTCATTTTGTTTATAATCAGCAAAGATCTGATTCTTTGCATTGAATTAAGAAAATGCAGTATTAATTGTTTTCACTGTGATTTCATTCCGAATCAAATGTTAATAAATGATGAACCATATAAAAAGTATTACTTTACGATTAAATTTCTACAATTCATATCGGGAGGGGGACATTTCTTCGGGAAATTTGGTTCTTAGAATGCAAGTATAGGCGGTTTTAATTAATTATTCATACATATCGAGTACTTAAATAAAATTCAACATAAGTATGTAATGAATTTTTCACATGCGAGAGTTTTAGATTTCTAAAGCAAGTATACTGAAAATTTTGGAATTAAAGGAAATGTTGTACAGAATTCGTATTTTTGAAAATAATGAACATATCTGATATTCTGCTGTTTTTAAACTCAGAAAAACTTATTTAATTAACATCTTCACTGAAATGAGAGTTTTTGTGTTTTTGAATTGCTACTAAGAAGATAATTATTAAGCAAATGAAAACTAAAACAATGTGCATTAAAAAAAGGTCGGAAATTTTTCTGTATATGAATTGCCTGTTTTCTTACATCTGTTGTTCTGTAATTTAAATTAAAAGATAAAATTATAATTATTAAATCAAACATTTCTTATTTATCTGGATGTTTGTGGGATCCCAGTGTGGGGGTTTTCCCTCGCCCACCTGGTAATGTTGTTTGCAGTTGACATTTGCAGTGCGAAATGCTTTCCTGAATTTAATTTTGCTCTTAAGTTTACTTGAATTACTAGGTATTTTAATGCATTCCTGCCTTACCTTGTTAAGTGTAATTAACAATTCATTTTGCACATTTACGATTTCTTACATCTTATGAAAAGAAGGAAATAAAATGCACCGTGTGTAAAACAAACGTGAAGAATCAATACGGTAAATGCAGTGTATAATACTTTGAACATTATATAATATAATGCGTACCCCTCTAGAATATTTTGTACAATTTTATAAAAGATAGCTCGTAGCTGTCAAGTTCCTCAAACGGAGATCTACAAAAAAGTACATGGTTGCTAAGAATATTTGATTTTTTTCTAAACGATGGCATAAAAAAGAGTAATTTTATTTTCCTAGCAGCAATAGCACACTAACGTTGGTAAAATATCTAAATCATACCTTTATGACATAAAAGAAACTTATTTTTTAAAAAGAAAATCTGATTAAAAAAATTTGGCATTCAGCGGGTTATTGATATTCTCTATGAGTCAATTTTTACTGATATGATATTATTATTTAGAACGTAAGTTATTAAGAAGATTTTGAGTTGTGACCCTAAATTAAAATAAGCATGTCAGTTAGAAAAAACAGAAGTTTCTGTGTTTGAATTATTACTACCTACGTCAGTGTTATCTTATGCGATACAAAATACTGCAGTTGCTATAAATATTATTTATTCATCAAAGCTCACTATTCTCACCTTTTAGGGAAAAACAAGATTATGACACTGGAACTTCTAAAAAGTTGGGAGTTGGACGTTGTGGTCTAAGCGATAGTCAGAACTCTGAACATGAGTACGCGAAATATACAAGCTTCTTCGAAATGTGCCTAAATCTATTAAGAAATTAATTTTTGAGCTCATTTGCTAGTAATCCGCATAAAATCTACAATGTTTTATTTTTTAAAAGTCAATACTTATTTACAGGCTCTTAAAGAGGGGAAGATTATTCATCATGCCAGCAGAGAACATAATTTAGATATTAATAATCTCAATTCTCTGCCAAAAATTAATTTTCTCTTTCTTATGATTTTGTTAAGACAATTTTCTTTTATCTGACTTACTTTAAAGTAAAAATAGGGTATACAATACATACAACACAGTAAAATGTGTGCAATCGACTGCTTATGTTATCGGTAGGGCTTTTACCAGCTTAGTTTTTTTTTAAAGACGCAGATTTCCGACAGAGCAGACGACAGTCGGCGCCTCTAGACACTGCACTGTCAAAGGTCAACTGCACTTTTATACTTTATTTGGGAAAATATAGCGCTGATCACTGTTGACTGAAAGTAATAACTTCAGAAATACATGCAATCAAATCTCTGCAAGGTATTATTTTGGTAGTTCGATCTACTTGTTATCAAGCCGATGTTGCCGATTGTCTCAGTTATTTATCCTTAATAATTTACTCCATTTTCTGCGCTCCTTCCTAATGGGCAATCTTCACCTGGTACGTCAAGCTCAGCTTTTTCTGTTAGGCTATTATTAGTTTTTCTTTTGGCCAGGACACTCAGTTTGTTCCTGGTATGTTTACTTAGCAAGCTTCGTTAGGCTATGTAGCGTTGTTAAGATATGAAGCTCTTTACTCTGTGCCACCTCCCAAGTAGTCTAGTCAGTATCCTAAATAGCTAAAATCAGAAGACAGTACTTTTTTCCCCCCCCTAAGTGGCGGGCACTAGCCATTAAAGGCTTTGGCCACTACTAAGGCCGAAAGCGGTGGTCACTTTATTATGGAGGCATCTAATAGGTGGGCCGCCGTTTCCTGCTATGAAGAAACAGATAATTTACATCCATGCCTTCTACGGGATTTGAACCCGGGTCCTTCGAAACAGCAGTCAGAGTCACTAACCACTTTTTGGGCAGTAGAACAGTATTTTTAAATGATGAAATCTTGGCGAAGACGATATTCTATGCTTCCAACAGAAAAATCTGTTTAGAAAAGAAGCCGCTGAAAATTGACAATGTATGTGAAGAATTTTTTCGGTATGTTTGCTTCTTCGTTTTTTAAATTTGAACAAAGAATTGGTTCTGTTATACTTTTTTAAGCGTTAAGGCTTCGTGTAATTATTTTAAGAATATTTTTCTTCTATTGAGGTATAAGGTATTTCTCCCGCTTTCTTAGCATGCCTTCGTGGTGTAATGTCAGCACACTCGGCTCGTGTTCGAGAGGTCTGAGGTTCGAGTCCCGGCTAGGGCATTGCTCATTTTTCATGTCTCCTGTTTCGAAATAACCTAATGTCTCTACAGTGGCGCCCGAACTGTAGACAGTAGTAAAAGGTTGTGGATGACGATTCTCCACCACTAGCATTTTGGCGACTGGGTGCCCTAATCACCAGTTGCCCTTTAAAAGGGGGGTATATAAGGTATTTCTCCCGCCTTCTTAGTACGCCTTCGTGGTATAATGGTCAGCAAGCTTGGCGTGTATTCGAGAATTCCGTGATTCGAATCCCGGCGAGGACATTGCTCATTTTTCATGTCTTCTGCTTCAAAAAATCCTAATGACTCTACAAAGGATTTAAAATATCATTATGCCCGAATAAAAACCAACAATAGGATGCTTAAAGAAAAGCAGAGGTAATTAACTCTTGTAAAAATCATGCTGCTTTTGCTGAGGCATGTGGACATTTGTTAAGGACATCTTTAAACAGCTTTAATCTATAAAATCACCTGCTTAATACATCCTTTTTGATCAACCCGTACTATCGATTTTTGATTTTAAAATGTATTTTTAATAACAATAAAAAGAAGAAATAAAATATAATAAAGAGGACGATAAATTATGCATGGGAATATTGCTGTAACGTAGCATACAGCGTAGATAACCCGAGAATATTAACTTGCATGATGGAAAGGAATTTTCACGCAGTAAGCGTAGCGTTAAACAAAAGTCAATAATGAGATGTGTATCACATTTTGTTCTTTAGCATATCATTAAATTCTTAAATCTAGATATTTGTCTGACACATGATCTATGATTACTTATTACAAGTAGCCAACAATTATATCATGATAAGAAACAGGTCGCGGTTCTTGTTTAAATTCCGTTTTTATTTATCTGTAATCGAGCCTTTAAGGCATATAGCTATTAAGGAATAAAAGAATACATTTAAATTTAAAATATGATTACGAAATTAAAGGATTTTCTCAAAAGAACTTAGGAAAATTTTTAATTAAAAACAATCAGTTTAAATAAGTTTTTTTCTTTGTTGTTTTTAAAATGTATCTTTAGATGCGTAGTTATTGCTTTTTCTTAGATATTTTTTTTCTTTATTGTTTACAAAAATGTATCTTTTAGATGCGTAGTAAACTGAGTTTTCTTTTGCTCACTGGATGCTTCTTTGTCTTTGTTCCAGAATTCTTTTGCTGTTTATCTACTGACAGTTTTTCATTTACACCTAAAAGCACGCTAATCTTCTGTCCTTTTATCTGTAATGATTTGGATTTTAATCGATTTTTCAAACTTCTTTGTCTAAGGAAACGCTTAAAAACGTTATTTTTTTTAAGAAGGAATGGTTATTCTCAGAAAAAGAAATGTCAAAATAAGAATTAAAAGTACACTCTTCCGTGCGCTTTTCATGGGAAGCGAAAAGAAAATCTTTATTCTTTCACAATTTTACTCATAAAAACAGATTTACGTCAATTTATTTTAGGTAGCAATAAAAAATACTGTTGATTGATACCAATATAGAAATAAAAATATTAATTAATTATTTTAGGTGATTAGTTTCGAGGTCCGTGGGTTTCAAAAAACCCAAAAGCTTCATGGAACATAGTCTGAATACTAACTGATATATATAACCATCGGTATTTATATTTATTGTTTATTAGAAGGATTCTGAAAATCTCTGGATGCCTGAAGAGGCTTCATCTAACTAATGTAATCTAGTTAATTACTGAGCTAGCTTTTTATTTTGAATCGTTTTTGTTACATTATCAAAGAATTGTGATTTTACTAATTTAAGAAGCTATGTATAACTTGAGTTTAAAATCCTGTCAACCAAACTTAATTGTACGGCAATCAAATTTTAAAGTGAAAAATTGGTAACTGCTTAACTTTGCATCAAAATTCTGTTTTCTCTATTTATTTTAAGAATATTATCCTTATCCGAAACGAGCTGCAGCACTCTCTCCACGTCCACAAATAATAACGTTCTATATGACTTACTGCGGATAATGACGAATACTATATGAAACGGAATATTCATGTACCTTTATGCAAACAGAATATTATCAATAAATATATAGTAAT